TTTAAACATTTATATAAGTTTTATTGTTTATATCTATTTTTAAGGTCTGATGATGGCTGGAATTGCCGAAACCGGTCACCAATAAAGAATTTTTTTTTGACAGTGGTTTGTGGGACTAGGTAGGTAGTATAAAATAAAAGTAGGTACCAATGCCAGAAATACTACATAAGCGAGGACCGCGAGGATTACACAACCGCTTGGGATTATTATTATCACTTAGGATTACAAAATCGCGGTATTTTTCTGGAACGGTTGCTATTGTAACGCGACTCATGTGGAACCGGTATTCCCATCACTACAGGCTATCCGGTCGAGTGATAGAATAATTATCGTTTTTTTAATAAAAATTAAAAAAACATTATAAAATTATAAAACTAGAATAGTATACGGTTTTATATTAACTCTAATTTTTTTGAAGTTTATAAAAAGCATTCATAAAAAAATATATATCCTTTAAATCATTTAATTAAATAGCTGTTAGTGATATTTCACTTCAATATGCGCACATAGTGCCTACACAACTTTTTTAAATAAATTTTAAGGGGCGTTAAAATTATTAGTCATTGCATAAAAGTGCACTGATAAAAAAGATAGACTTGAACTAAAGCCGTCATCGTTCTTGAAAAAAAAATTTAGTGGCAAGAGAATTTATTTTAGCGTAAAAGAAAATATTTTGCCTGAAGAAAAACTCTCTTAACTCAAGAAAACTAGTTCTCTTGAAAATATCGAAAAGTTCTCTTGAATCTATTTTCATTCAACCAAGTGCAAGTTACTTTGTTTTAAGATAATAAGAAAAATACGCTAGGAAGTACTTCATTCAAGAAACATGGTCATTTTTCCAATAGCTAAATACTCTTTTGATGAAAAATAATAACAACACGCAAAGACGATGACGAAGGACTGTATATACAATCAGTCGGCAGTCCGATCAGTCTCACGTCGCATTTCATAGATGGCACATCATAGTACGCACGGGTTTTGTTGCTTGGAATTTTCCACTTGGAATTTTGCATAATTTGCCTTTTAAACGCATATCGTATAACAAATTAGTGATCGTTATTAACATGCATTTGTCATTTTTTATGGACAAATTTTAGGACATATGGATTCTTTAAAGGAGTTTCTGAAAAAATGGAAATTAGAGCATTTATTTGTTATATTTGAAGGTAAGATACATTTACCTAATGCACCTGTTTAGATAATGCATGCCTGACTATAGATAGAATAAGAATATAAATATCGATTTTTTTATTCAAATAATTACAAAAAATTTAGAATTTCAAGTCGTCAAATTCGTCAAAATTCGTCAAATAAATTCAAATTTATTTGCTTTACTTTGATTAATCGTGATGTAACATTTCTTTGTAATTTGTAGAGTGATGAACCACCCCAAAAAATACCAAGGAGTGAAGAAGCAGAAATAACTACTATCGAGGAAAATAATATCACTTTACTTACTACAGACCAGGAAAACCTAAATTTATCAGAAAATAATATACCTCGTAATATGCCTGTATATGATGTATAGACTTCTCTTAGATCAAAATAAATTTTAGTTGAGTCAATAGTATTCGTTATTGGTTTAAGAAAAGTGTCTCTTTAATCAAGAAATGTCCTTTTTCAATCAAGAATTTTTGCATGAATCAAAGAGACTATTGTTCTTGTAGCAAGAACTTTTTTGCATATTCATTTTGGGTCAAGAGTGAAATACTTTGGACAGATAGATTCTTCTATTCTCTAAAGTAATTTTTTAAAGCTTATGAAAAGATAGTTAATGCTTTGGGCAAAGAAACGTCGTTCTTGGCCCTATTGAAAAGCGCCAATCTTTTGGGTCAAAGTCATATTCATTTCGACTGAGAGATCCTTTTTTTCAGTGTGTGCAGTTTAGGTAGGTATTTTGGCGGTATATGAAATACCGCTTGGTCTTGCTTAAGTTTTGCACTGGTAATGGTATGCACTCTTAAATTTACCAAAAACCTTTCGTCTGTATATATTTCTTTTATCTCGATTGTTTCTATCTGATTAAACCAATATCTCTTAATGCTAATTCTACTGCCACCGGTATTTTCTCTCTTCATTCCATCGCATCGATTCGTTCAAATCGACGAGTTCTGCCATCGATGCCATCAATCGACAAGGAGAAAGACTGCCACGGAATGTCGATTAGATCCTGTGGCATTTTAAGCAGCAAAAGCAGCAGCCGGATAGTCATTTTTAAACTTATTAATATGCGAGAATTAAATATGCGGTAGCAAGGAACTACTGCAGCGTTATCTATCAACCGAGATAGAAATGCTAAGACGTTTGCGATTGTTTTGAATTACAATGTTGTAGGTAGTTTTTTTTAGTGTTTTTTTTATACTTTTTGGCTAAATAAGTAGTTTAGTTAAATTTAGGTTACTAAAAAAACAGAATAAAAGTAAATATTACAGTTAATTGTATCATTCTTCTATGATTAACGATTTATTTAATTATTTATTATAGATTGTATCGGAGGGGGGTTCCTTATAAATCTGTTGTGTCCCCCTTTCTTGAGTTAAAACTCATCATACAGTCTCTGAGCTTTGACAAAATCTAGTATTTAAGACGGTTTTACAGAGCTTAGTTCTCCATCTTCGATATCAGTCTTACCAAAGTTTATGAAACACATGGTTGTCGTCTCGACGCACTCAGTGATGAGGTGTTCTAGTGTTTACCCATTTTCCCCACAGAATCTGCATTCAACGTTGTTTCTTACGTTTAATCTACTGAGGTGTTCATTGAGGAGAAAATATACTCCTTGGTTATCCGAAGATTGTTGGTTGTAAGATATGAATAATTTCTCCAAGTGTCTTAAACAGAGGGAGTGTTCCAGGTTCTTAAGTTCTGCTTTAAGTAGGTTTCCACTTGGGAAGCAGAACGGTTCTGGTGCAGTTAGTGGAGTCTTTGCTCCTTTTCTAGCTAGAGCGTTTGGTTTTTCATTACCTTCCAGCCCTTGGTGGACTGGCATCCAGAGTTGGACGACTTTATTTTCTTTGAAACAATTACTATTACTGTAGCTGTTTCACTTTTCCAAGACTTGAGATTAATTAATTATTTCTGTTATTATTTTTTTGAATTTGCTGACAGAGTACTACAACAGTTGTAGTACTACAACGAATTGGTTTTATTTTTTCTCCAAAACAGTACTATAGACAGGCATAGGTATGATATAAAGAAAAAAAGTTTATTTTTAGTTGCCTTATTTTAAAAGATAAAAATAGATAAAAGCTAAAAGATAAAAATAGATAAAAAAAAATAAAATATAATCCCCTGGCACGCCACTAAAGTTAATAATTATTATTTAATTAGTGGCGCATCTAAATCAGTGGCGCATCTAGAGATTGATTGTGGAAGGGGTAGTGGCAATATTTAAGTAAAGTACTAGATTTAAATTAAACTTTCGCTTTAAGGTATTGTAACTGTGGAAAAAACTAAACTTAAATTTGACTGGATTTTTATTTTGATTGATTTATTTTAATTTCGTTTGTGACAATTTTATTTTATACATATTTCTCTTCTTATTAATAATATTTATTTTTTCGAAAGGGGTAATTACCCCCATAACCCCTTCCATATATATGCGCCCCTGCCCTAAAATAGTCCATTGTTACTAGAAATAACATTAAAAGTTTCAAGAAAGTCCGCTAGAGGGTATTTAGCAAAATATTATTTATTATTTTTCTTTAAAAGTTTTATAACATCCTGTATCTTTAAAACTACGCATTTCCGGACCCATGATGAGTTTTTTTCATATTTTTTGATAAGAAATCACCCTCTGTATTTGAGTGTAAGGCAATGTAGTTTACTATACTCATTTTTTTTTTCGTTACTAGACGACATATGAGACACCTTTCTTTGTTTTTTTTTATGACAGGGAACAGCCATCTAGAAATTCTATCTCGTTTAATTTGAGTTCATTATTTTGTTTGGCCAAAGCTACTATATAATATGCAATTTATTAAACAACGACAACATACATTTATTAAAAAGTAGCATGAGTGTCCGCGTTTCGTTTTTTAAAGGTATCCAATATATAAGAATGTTTTTATGTGTCTGAAATTTCCATATTGTAAATTTAGGGACCTTTAAAAGTATAGTTTCATTACCATATCACGTGTTTGTTTTAAAAAGGTGTCCATTATTATCACGGGTATCTAGTTGATTTTACTTTTTTTTTTAATCAAGCATTAGGCAGTATATATACTGTACAAGTTGAAATATTGAACATATTGAAATGTTGGAAGCCTTTCAGTTATCTCCTCTGGCTGCTAGGAGGCGGTGACCTTTATATACAATATGTTCGAAAAAAAAACGGCGTCAGCGATGGCTATGAAATAAAGATCGCTGTCATATTATATATAAAATTATATGGGGAATAGCATCGATCGTTATTTCCAAGCCATATAGACGCTAATTTTTTTGATCACACGATATAACCTTCTTAATTATTTAAGATATGCCCAATTGTGGTCTGATTAATAGCATCAAATTTAGGGGTACCCAAAATTATGTTAAGAATGAGTGCATTTTTTTTGTGTTGACAGTGGAAGCCCATTAACTTCTATGCTCAGTATTTGTAATAATATATTGTTCAGGAACAGAGTTCCTGACAGATTATTGTGATAGATTTAATTGTTTAAGTGCCAAAAAAAAATGTGTTTATATCTAAAGAATATGCTAACCTCCCTTAAGGATAATATATTAAATCAGGCTAAACCTAAAATTGTTACAGTGCTAATGAAATTAGCGCATCTGCTATTTAACTGCACTGTTAGGTTAGAAATATGCTCATTAATTCTAATTTGTCATTTTGGTACTTGCCTGTTTATCGAATTTTATTGTGCTTTTATTATATTATTTTTTACATTGTTGTGATGTTCTTTATTGTGAAATTGTAGCTCTCCATACCTTGACAACCTTCTTGGTGTTTGTAAAAAGAAACAAATAAATATTAATTTTGATTTGATAAACCAACTCACCGACAGGGGATGCACTATCAGCCTCTCTCTCCCTACTCCCGCACTTATTACTGTTCCTTGCTGCCCTCCCGTGCCTTGACATGATCGCCGCGATGCTAAAGTCCGTACCGCTCGGCCGCATCGTGCAATTCTCCTCCATCACACGCAGTACCACCAACCAAATACCGTCACCTACGACGACCACCACGACCAACCCCAAAACATCCCCCGCACATATCAGTAAAAACACACCGAAAAAAACTACCTCACCAACGAAAATCCCTCACCAGATCGCGAAGATATCAGTACCAACATCGTCTCTTATCACCTCCCTCAGGTGACTCGCCACACGCCGCCAATTTGACAGAAGTCGTCTGTCGATTGTAAAAGACAGGAATATTTTACCGGAGGAGTTTCCTTTCTTCTTTTCCCCCCGGTCCCCCCACTACAAAGAAAAGGAGGCGCGGTTTCGGCTCGTAATGCCGCTAATTGATGTCAGAAGCGGAGTTCGTGTGTGTTCGGAAAGGTTCGGCTCGTGTAAAATCGTGTTTCTCCCCACTCTTAAAGTGGGAGGGGCTTGGGACAGAGGCAAGGGGGTGTGATTGAGGTAGGGTCCGCCTGCTCGTTGATTTGAAGCGTATGTTGTCGACGACGACGAGGAGAAGTGTCGGGCTACCTGGCCGGTGGTTAGAAGAGGCGGTGTTGCCGGATTCCTGCATTTCAATCTGAGTCGTTTAAAATGTGTAGTGGTTATATTAGATCTAAATTCGGATGAAAATTTAGTCACTGAAGACATCCAAAAAATGGCAGGAAATACAATTTTTCTATGAATTAAATCGAGAGAGACAATTCAGGGATTTAGACGTTAACTGGATCAAGTCCTAGAAGATAATTATGGAGGAAATGAGAGTTAAAGTTTTTTAAAGTTACTTAATTAAAATAAAACAACCTGAAGAAGAAAACTTGACACACAGCTTTATTATATTTAAATTGTATAATTGCAAACTAAAATAACTCAAAATACAACTGTGGTCATTCTTATGAATGTTTGTTTATACTTTTTTGGACTTGAACAGTTTTATCTCTGAAAATATTTGAAAATTTAGATATAAATTGTTTCATCGGTTTATTCTCCTTCGTTATTAAGGGATTTGTTGACTTCACATTGCCTATTAATTGTGTTTTCTCCGATTTTTATAAAAATTATGGTATATAGGCGGGATAAAAGGAAGAATATCTTTTAGAATGTGTACGTTCCGTCTATATGAAATGACAAGATTTTTCTTCCTTGTGCAGTTTTATTCAGATCAACAACATGTCAGAAATCGAAGTATTTGTAAGAAAAACAGTCTAACTTATTGATGTAGTAATAGTAAAAATAATGATAAATCAAATTTACTTTCAGAATCGATAGAATCAGACCTTTCAGATGGCTGATAATCTGATTCACGTGGTGCAAATGGTTCAGACTTTGTTTCATTATCAACCATTTTATCAAAAAAATAATTTTTTTAACTTTAAACTTTAACACGTGTGTTAAAATCGCGCATAGCGTTAAATTTTATGAATTTGATCCAGTTCACTTCTGAAAGGAATCAACAGAATATTCAGAAACCAAACAGAAAGAGAATATAGCTGCTTAATGCGTGAAGTATGACTTGATTCATTTCTCTACAGAAAAAAAAACAATATTTTATAAACGTATAAAGACGATTACCTATCTTAAAATAGTAAGAAAATGGACTGAATCCATTTTAATTCTGACCACTCCAAGTTGTGGTGATTTAGTGTTTTTATTTTGCTGTTTAACACCAAAGGTTCCAACCCTCAACTGTAATCACTCCAAGTGTCAGTAAGGAAGGATCACTGTCAAGGATCTTCATGTTGCACAAACCAGTGGTAATTTAAAAAGTAGTAATCAAGTAGATCTGAATGATGTGTGAGATACAAACAATTTTAAATTATTGAGCACAGGAAAATATTTTAAGTTTCTCTTTCAAGAGCCTTTAAGATGCAATGCTGCTAGGTGTAAATAGGAACTCTTTGTATTTGAAGACTCTACCTGCTGTGCAAAACGTAGGTCCTAACCCCGATGAAAGAAGAAAAATGCTAGATAACAAATAACAAGTACGTTTTAGTGGCGATGAATTATTTCAGTAAATGGCCGGAAGCTTTTGCCAATCCATCATTCCAAATCAAGAAGCATCGACTGTAGGTCAGTCAATAATGTCTTCAGTAGATTCGGATTTTTTTAGAACTTCACACTGACCAAAAAAAAACTTTGAGTCAAGACTTTTCCAGAACTTGTGTGATCTGCTTGGTATTTACAAAACTAGGATAACGGCTTTGCATCAGAAATCCGATGGGATGATTGAGAGATTCTATAAGGCCATTGAAGAAAACCTCTCAAAAATTGTGAATGAACATCAACGAGATTGGGATCAGCACATACCTCTATTACTAATGGCGCCGTAGAGAAGTGCAGTTCATAACACCACCGGACTTACACCATCAAAGATTTTATTTGGTCGAGAATTACGGTTGCCTTTTGTGACTTGGTGTTCGGATCACCAGACGAAAATACCACAGGTAGCATTTTTGGAGTCATTTTAGGTAATGTTTCTAGTAATTGTGTCTGTTTCTTTAAGTACACAAAATGGAAACGGTAGATATGCCACAAATAGGAAGTATTTTCAAACCTATATATTTTATATGGCTTTATTACATGTGGTGACACTTATTTGGCACTAGGTAGCCATTTCCTGAAATGCTTCGATGCGGAATCAAAACTTGGAAATGTTTCGAAACATTTTCTGCAATTTGTGTCCAAGATGTTCCCGTTTTCAGCAGCCACTATTTCTAAATAGTCTATGTCTGTGTATGGATTTCACAATGAAAACAACCTTCATCATCATTATTGTTGCTACAAATATTTTTGTTTGAAATATAGATTTTCATTTTTATTTCTATATCATGGTTCTGAAAATAAAAATTTATAAATCAATGTAAGTAGAACGCGTTCTTATGAGTTTATATATATTTTAAGTTCTTAATGAGTTTAAATATGTTTTATCGGCTCATCAGCCGATAAAACATATATTTTTAGTTAAAAACGCTGCAACATGGCGGAAATTTAATTCATTATTTGTATTCAAAATTGACATGGAGTCAGACACAAATCATCTACATTATATTATATATGTGTCTAAAAACGGAGAGGCTCGTGTTTCGAAAATGAATCGACAATAAATGGAAACCTTGTTTCCAAAATGTTTCTTACTTATTATAATACAATTAAGGGTGGCTGCAACGACCTCCCGTAGTCCTGCTGTTAAAACATAACAATTGGTTTTTACATATAAAAACCAGCTGTTATGTTTGGTATGAAAGCTCGGTATGACAAACTTTAGACATTCTCTTCTAGGTCTATGATGGTCATAAAAATGCCTTTCCACAATCCATATTTCCTTTTTTCCCGAAACCTGACAAACTTCTCCCAGACCCGGCAACGCCGCACTCCGCACCGCTATTACAAGCCAAAGCCGCCGATTGTTTTTCCTTTTGTCTCTCCTCTGTGAGGGGATAGGGGACAATTCACGACGATAAGTGCACCGCACGCTCGATTATGAGCGCCGCTCACGAGTAGCCGCTGGAGTGGGGGGCAAACAGATGACAGTGTCACCGACAGGGGGCGTGGCCTCGCACACGAGGCGCCGGGGGACGGAGGGGAAGCTCTATTAACGCTGCAGCGACGGCTATTAACCGGCAAATTTGTAATGCGGGGCGGCGCGGCAACGGTGGCGATGGTCTAATGGATTTCGAAATTCCTGTTGGGCGGATTTTCTGTTGGCGGCCCTGTTAATTCGCCCGAGCGGTTGCGGAATGGTATAACAGTGTGGCCATGGGGGGAAAAAGACTATTACACACGCTGGGGATAATGGGGGGAGGAACGGGTGGTGCTAAATTATGTCGAATCGGTTTTGAATAAAGCCGAGGATAATTCTGTCGCGAGCTAATGGTTTTCGAAACTATTTCGCTACGTATATTATGAGTAATTTTCGTTCATATTATTAAGTATTCTCCTATTGAATATAACACAAATGATTTAGAGTAGCTAGCAGGCGAAAATGTCTGATAAAATTGAGTGGTGTATTTATTTTAATATATTGTAATAAATTTGTGAATGTTTCTGAACATTCAACTTAAATTAATCATCGTATAGAACACAATATTCCAAACCTACAGTTCATACCAAATAAACTTTTGGTCACGTGATTAAGCTTTACCGGCACAGCGTTGCCCTCTTTTATATATTTTCTTTTAATTAAAATATTTTAGAAAACAAAAATAAATTAATTATAAATAGGTATATAAACAGTTATTATTTACATCAACACAACTCACTTTCTGAACAGTACTTAAGGGACATTAAGGGTCATTACTACCGCTTCTCCGTTCAAAATATTCTAATAAAGTTGCGATGAGTTTTTACGGCTATTAAGCTAACTTGTACACTTTGCACTAAAAGAGGTTCCAAAAAGAACTATGTTCGACTGCAAGGTCTGCTAATAAACATTTTTAAGCTTAAAGTATCACAACACTATTTATTTAAGCCAAAAACTCGTAATACAAAACTAAAGTGTCAAAACGAATGACAATATCAGGAAATAAATAAATAAATTCGGGAACTTGACATTTTTTACAGCAGAGTACCGCCTGAATCACTAGCGCGAAATTTAAATTCCAGTTAATTATGGTTGGCAACAATTAATTTAAAAATCGCACCCTCGATTGCTTAACAAAAAGTTCAATTGATATCAAATGTAGATACCTAACTCTAACTTTTCAAACTACTCTTCTCTATAGTTCGTGTACCAAGAGGTTACATGACTGTGACAGTTGAATCTGTCATTTTAATTCAAAGAGAAATTGCATAGATAAACTAACCAAGTTTATTACAATTAAAAAACACTATAATTAATCACCAGTATGTATGGAAACAGTTCATGGACTTTTATTGCTTCATTTTTAAATAGATTTTTTTTAATATGTTCAAATTAATGTTTTTAAAAAATCTATGTATTTTCATGTTTTTTATTCGCGAAATATTCTACCGAATTACACTCGTGCATCAAAATTAACCTGATAATTTTTCATTTAAGCATGTTGTCAATAAAAAACAGCATTCGTTCATATTCATATTTTGGAAGAGCCCTCCTCCTTCGGAGTCGAGCTCTTATGGCAAAATATGAATATAAACTCTGCATTTTTTAGACAACATGCTTTCACGAAAAATTATCGGTAATTTTGATCTACTTGGGTAATTACTTCCGATAACATCTGTTAATATAT